CAGCCCCAGCACCCCCAGCTCCAGTGTCTCCTCACACTATGAGGACTCACCTCTTTCCCCCTGCGGGTGTCACCAAGTGGAAATCAGAGGTAGTGCTGAATGGCAAGCAGCCAGAGGCCCCCAGAACCAGCCCCCCCCGGAGCCCTGCCGAGCCAAAGGGGAGCCCCCTGGAACCTAAATCAGAGGCCCACCTCACCTTCCCCCGTTCATTCAAGGTGCCTCCCCCAACCCCAGTCAGGACGTCATCCATCCCGGTTCAGGAAGCACAAGGGGCTCCTCCAGAGGAGGAAGGGGCCACCAAGAAGGCCCCTAGTCGACTCCCACTGCCTCCCAGCTTCCACATCCGCCCCGCATCCCAGGTCTACCCGGATAGGGCCCCTGAACCAGATCGCCTCGGGGAGCTCAGGACTGTGGCACCTGCCAGCCCCAGGCTGAGCCAGTCCCAGACCAGGAGAAATGAACAAGCTGAGACTCCACCCCCAGCCTCTCCCCTGCCCCTTCCCACACCCCCGTNGTTTATAAAAAGCCCCAAATCCAGCTCTCCTGCTCCCAAACCCAACCCCCCCAGCCCAGAGGACACAGAGTCTTCAGAGCCTGTGGACTGGCGGGATCCCAGCCAGATGGCAAAGCTTCGCAGCGAGCTGGCAGCCTACCTCTTTGGCTCCAAGAGAGAGGACCGATGCACCAGTCACAGGCCAGGCCCAACGGCGGCCTCTCAGGGAAAGGAGGGCGAGAAGGGCCCCAGCCTGCCAGAGAAGGAGATCCCCGCAAGTGATCCTGAGAAGAGTCCCTGTCCAGACAGAGAGGCGACCGCTAGCCTGCCCCTGCCTCCTGTGGACTACGTCCCCCAAGACTCCCCGACTCTCAGTGTCCAGCAGATCCGCAATGAGCTGGAGGCGCGGCTTTCCTCATCAGCAGAGAAGGAATCCAAGCCCAGCATAGGGTCTCTGCCTCCTAAACCTTGGCTAGAAGGGGGAAGAATCACTGAAAACAAAGCTGATAAAGGCCAATTTTCCAAGCCTGTGGCCAAAAATATGCCACCACTATCCACCCCCCTTCTGCCAACGACACCACACCAGTCCAAGGCTGTGCCTGGGCCAGCCACACCACCCAAAGCTGCGCCTGGGCCAGCCACACCACCCAAGGCTGCGCCTGTTACAGCCACAAGTGGGCCAGCCACACCACCCAAGGCTGCGCCTGTTACAGCCACAAGTGGGCCAGCCACACCACCCAAGGCTGCGCCTGTTACAGCCACAAGTGGGCCAGCCACACCACCCAAGGCTGCGCCTGTTACAGCCACAAGTGGGCCAGCCACACCACCCAAGGCTGCGCCTGTTACAGCCACAAGTGGGCCAGCCACACCACCCAAGGCTGCGCCTGTTACAGCCACAAGTGGGCCAGCCACACCACCCAAGGCTGCGCCTGTTACAGCCACAAGTGGGCCAGCCACACCACCCAAGGCTGCGCCTGTTACAGCCACAAGTGGGCCAGCCACACCACCCAAGGCTGCGCCTGTTACAGCCACAAGTGGGCCAGCCACACCACCCAAGGCTGCGCCTGTTACAGCCACAAGTGGGCCAGCCACACCACCCAAGGCTGCGCCTGTTACAGCCACAAGTGGGCCAGCCACACCACCCAAGGCTGCGCCTGTTACAGCCACAAGTGGGCCAGCCACACCACCCAAGGCTGCGCCTGTTACAGCCACAAGTGGGCCAGCCACACCACCCAAGGCTGCGCCTGTTACAGCCACAAGTGGGCCAGCCACACCACCCAAGGCTGCGCCTGTTACAGCCACAAGTGGGCCAGCCACACCACCCAAGGCTGCGCCTGTTACAGCCACAAGTGGGCCAGCCACACCACCCAAGGCTGCGCCTGTTACAGCCACAAGTGGGCCAGCCACACCACCCAAGGCTGCGCCTGTTACAGCCACAAGTGGGCCAGCCACACCACCCAAGGCTGCGCCTGGGCCAGCCACACCATCTGCAGCCACAGCTCTGCCCACCACATCATTCCAACTGAGAGCAGAGAAGAACCTAGTCCCAGCTGAGCAGCGGAAGAAACCAGAACCTCAAGAAAATGCAGTGCCTTCCCAGCTGGAGGCAGAAGGGCGCCCCTCAGAGGCCAGTAAGCCTCCTACACAAGGAGCCCTCTCACCTCCAGCCCTCCCACCAGAGATGTCCCCAGGCAAAGAAGTGGCATTTCTCTACAAGCCCCACAGCAGCCAGAACAGCCCCAGCAGGGAGGTTGCGGTGGTGATGCCCACCATGGCCAGAGGAGAGGCTGCAGGGTCAGGGGAGCCTGTGGAGGCGAAGGAGCCCCAGGGGCTGCCAGCCAGACCCCCCTCCTCAGCCCAGCCTGCTGACGAAGTGCTCAGACACCCGGTGACCGGGGAGGTGGTGGAGCGGGGCTCCCCCATGGCCCTGCTCCTTGCAGCCAGGCAGAGGGCACAGAAGGGGCGGTCTCGAGGGGCTGGCCTGGACCGGTCCTCCCTGCCAGGGAGTCTCCGGGGCCAGCCCCAGGCAGGCTCTGACACCATCTTCCTCAGGGACGGCCAGCCCAACTCCTTCACTGTGGTCCCCAAGCTATCCACAGAGGCTAAGAACCCCCAGCCGGCCTCCTCAGCACAGCCCGCCCTGCCCAGCCCCTGGAAGGCCCAGCGGGGCAGAGACCCGGAGGACACGGAGCCAAGCCGAGGGCACAGCTGGACCAAGGTGGAGCCCCAGGCCCCCGCGTCCTGGGGAAGGTCAGCGCCCTCGGGCCTCGCCCAGGGCCGCCTGCTGCCCAAGTCCTTCTCGTCGCCTTCTTCTCCTTCCTACAAGAGCGAGGAGGAGAAGTTCAGCTTCGAGGTGATCCCGCCACCGCCGGAGTTCAGCAACGACCCTGAGCCTCCAGCCCCGGCCCTGCAGTACCGGGGCCGCCGGGGCTCCCCTCCCTGGATCAAGTTCTCAGACTTGGGGCTGTCCCTGGACGCGCGCCCCGCGGCCTCGGCGCGCTGGCCGGCGGCTGAGCGCTACTCGGGGGCCGGGGGCCTGGAGCGCTTCTCGGGC